GTCGAAGGGACGCACTTGGTAGTATGGATCCAATCCCTTCCGAGAATGGCTGAATAAGTTGGTTTTCCTTCATTGACAAAGAAAGCCATCTGGTCCGTCCTTGTTCCAACCGTCGATTTCTCCACCAACACGCATGCTGCCGTATACGCATTTCTGGTGAAATCGGTCATTTGCATGATTTTCGGGACGAGATCTTTTCTGTTTTTATTGATTTTTCTTAGAGTGGACAATGTCATAACGTTGACGGAAGCTCCTCGATCGACTAGGACCTTGCTGATCGTCCGCCCATCAAGATGTACTATGAGGAATAAGTGTTTCAAGTGGCGGGTATTTTCGTCCGCCAACTTCTGAAAAATTACTAGTTCTGGACCTTCTTTCGGAATGTCGAAATCCTGTTTTACCCAATATAATGGACCAGCTCCTTCCAACATCGCATTCCTCTGAAGATAATCGGTTTGGACATGAGGGGCTTCGTATTCCCGATGTAGCACCCCTACTATGTTGACCTTGAGATCTCCTTCACAGCACGAAGCTCGTTTGAGGTCGGAAGCAATAATGTCCAAGATAGTCTCCGTCGCCTCATTGCAATCGAGGGCACCTATCATCGGCTTATCTTCCGGATATGGTCTTCCCCGAGTGTCACAGTAAATTAAGGTTCATTAGGGTGTTCAACCCTTGCAAGAGCTCCTTTTGGTCTCTATTTCTTTCGGGCCTGAAGCTGGTGATGAAGGTCCTTCCGACAAAGCTTCGATCTTCCAGCGACAGCTCCTTCTGAGCCCTGGGCCTGCTGTCCTCCGGCCTGACCTTCGTGGTCATCAGCCTGCTGCCTCCCAGCCTGGTTCTCTTGGGAAAGGCGAGCGGCCAAGCGTTGTCGTTGCATCTTCCTTTTTTGAGTCCTAGTAGGAGGTCGCATCACCTGCTCCTTCCGGTTTTTTGTCCAACTCCCATCGTCTGGAGCCTTCCCAGGATGGCGGGTATGATAGGGTGTGATTACCACCTGATCTACAGAGGTTACTCGCCAAACCTCGCCTCCCTTTTCAAAGCTTACTTCCGCGATCGTATTCGTGGGGGAAAGTATGTCCCACACCGAACTTCTTCTCGAAGGTTTGATCAACCTTCCAAGCCTTTCAAACACTGGTTTTTTAGGGCATGTTCTCCTATCATCTGCTCCAAACCCCGAATTTTTCTTTCTGGACCTGGCTGGACATACTCCGACAACGTTTATCAGCGTGGGGAACGGCTCCGTATTTATTTTCATGTCAGGTTTTTCGGCCAGCTTGAGGCGGCCTTCTTTGATGGCTTTCTGGACCGCATTTCGGAAGGAAATGCAGTTCCCGATCTGATGGTCATATACTCCATGCTACATACCAAATAATTTTTCATCCAGCTCCTCTTCGGTTGGCATTTTGTGACCTTCTTTAAGGTGGAGCTGGTTATCTTTCAGCAAGCAGTCAAAAATATGCTCCATCTTTGCGATGTCGAACAAGTAAGATACCTTCAGATTCACCTCATTCCGTCGAGGCGGCTTAAGAGCCGAGCATGTATATGCCTTCCCCTGCGAAATTTCAGCCAAGAAGGTCTCCTCTTGCTCCTCGTCGACCTCGGCAACCCCTTCTTGGGCAAACACGCAATGATTAGCACTCCGAAACTTTTGATTTCGAGCCGTTTGAGCTTCTTTGAAGAGCTGTTCGGCCTTCACAGCTTTGGACATCGGCTGCCAAAAGTCGTAATATTCCTGAAGAGCCAGGTTGTCACGCAGCTGGTGCATCATGTTATTTATTGCCATATTCACCACCTGGTCCTCTGGTACACGAATTTGGTATCTAGTTTCTACGCTCCTGAATTGTTTCAAGAACTTCTCGACTGAATCCTTGCTTTTCCGATCGCCATATATCCTATGAATCTCATCTTCAATTATCTGTAGATTTATGATGGGATGTGGGAGCGGCACCATCTCTGCCTGCCCCCCAGGTTGTTCGGAAGCTGCCTGAATGGACAGCGGATTGTGTAACGCCGGCTGTGGAAAAGCTTGATAAGTAGGTCCCCGTTGTGGGAAACGAACTTGGGGGCCTTCTGTAGGTTCTCTAAGGACTGGAACCCGTTGCAATGGTGTATTTTCGGGGGCTGGTTGGGCAGGATATTCGTAGGTTTTTTGCAGCCCGGAACCAGCAGCAAATCAACCTTCCCCAGCAGCTCTCTGTTCCCTAGTATATCGGGATGGCGTTGGGACTGGTCCCCTTGGTTCCCAAGTCATTTCAAAAGGCTTTAGGACCAATGAAGGTGCTGGAATTGCTGTCGGCCCTGCCCTCTATGTATTGGAAGTCTTGTCCGGCCATTGGGTTTCTTCGAAGGCCTAGAGTGGTGACTAGGGTGCTGAAAGTATTTCCAGCAAATAGGTGATTGTTTTGCCCATATGGTATTGATGGAACTGACCTAAAGGTCATCCCAGATCCATCGGTTGGAGGCGGCCCAAAAGAGGGTTGCCCGGTCGACGCCTGAGATTCTCCGACCTTTTGGATGGTGATCGGAGGTCCTCCAGATCCGAAACCCCTACCTAACAGAGTAACATGTCCATACTTAAGTATCTAGGAGGTCGGATCTGTTGCGAAGCTGGTTGTAAGGCCTGCGGGAAGCCAAATCTCTGGCTGGCCGGAATCGACCTTCCAAGCCTTGCTTTTTCGAGTTTCTTTCTCTAGAAGCATCGCAAACTCGTTCTGAATGGCGGGTTTCAGAATGTCGATAATGTATTGAGATAGATCCAGTGTGGATCCGTGAATGGATGACCGAATTTCTTCACGAATCTACTCCTGAAGAACGCTGACTAGAAGATTAATGATCTGGTCCGGCCTTCCAGCAGCCGCGGAAGCCTCGTCGCACTTGGGCTCCGGGAGGGGGAGATGTAAGAAAAATTACCAACTTGACTCTGGGGTAGCATGTTGCGCAAGGCACGATGACGAATCACCAACGATTCCTTTGTTTTTAAACATCTCTGCAGTCGTCAGCGGCATCAATTTTCTTCCGAAGTTGCATGTAAAAGTCGCGAGACGTCGGTGTCCCACTGGACGTGTCAATTTGTTGTCGTAAAAAAATCGCCACCGACGGCTTAATTGGAAAAACCTACCGGAATTGATTTTATCGTAGGGTTCCCCGGCCTCCTCAAGAAAAGATCCGGGCTATCTCATAATAACCGAAAACATTGGCGAAGAAAGAAGAAGGTAAGATAGGAATTAACGCTGAAAATTAAATTGGAATTAATTAAAAAAAATTGTAAAAATTTAGAAAAGTTACAAGAACGGAAAAATTGCAGAGAAAATAATGAAGAAGAAGAATATCACATGGTGAATGGCGTGTCCCTCTGGTTCTACTCTTGGATATTTATTTTGTTTTTGAATTATTTGGATAAACCTTCGTCCCCACGTTTTTTTTCAACAACTTTCTAACCAAGTTTTTGACCTTCTTGCCTCCGTTGGACTGCATCAAGTCGAGCTGGACCTCCTTGAACGATGGGCTAGACGGGTCAGAAGGTCCGACTGCTACTTTGGGCCATATGTTGGGCCGCGAATGTCCTTGAACTGCACATACGCTGAGTCGGCCCCAATTAATTGTTTGAGTGTATACACTTTTTTTTTTTTTTAACAAAACATATATCGTTGTGATCTCACCTGGAAATTAGAGCATGAGAGAAAGAAGTGATATTTCTTTTCCACACAAAAGATATAGAAGGACATCCCTATTGGGGAATCGAAATGGAATAGAAGAGAAAGATCTTTGGAAGGATACTAGGACTACCTTATTCGCAGAGTAGAAAAGGGAGGATGAGACCGGCCCTCGAGACACGTGAAAATCGTGTGAAAAGAAAAATGATTTGATGGAAGTTAAGTTGAACGGAGAGAATAAGGGCTCCAGTGTAAAAGAGATTAGGAAGTTAAGTTGAACGGAGAGAATAAGGGCTCCAGTGTAAAAGAGATTAGGGAATAGTAAATAGTCAAGCTTGAGAAAATATGTAAAATAAGAAGCGTAGACAAATAATTATGCAATGGTATTGAATTTAAACTAGATAGATAATTGGTGATTTTACTCCAATTAGCCTTTTTATATATGTATATATATATATATATGGAGATTACTGGTTAAACTTCTAGGTTATCGTTATGGTTATGGTTATGGCCATGCTTTCATGAGTCTGCACCAGGCAGAGATTAATTAATTAATCATTTTTGTTGAAGAGATGAGATGAGATTGTGGTATATTTCACTAACTCCTAATCCTAAACTTGAACGCGGATCTGAAGAATGAATGAATGAATTAATTAATTAATGCCTAGTCGTCCTTTCCTTTATGATCTGTGAAAAGAATGAAAGAATTGGACATAGCTAATCTATCCAACGTAACAAACACACTAGTCCGTCCATGACCATCAAAGCACTCTCTATGCTGCAGCTGAATGTGGTTGGTTCAACATTAGTCCCTAATGCTAACAGTCCGTTCCAACTTTTCTGATGATCCTGAGGCCATCCTATCCTCCCTCGATTACCAGATGATATACCAAAGCAAAGAGTTCATCACTGTCCGGATCGGAAGCTGCAGAGCAGGGTCCAATGCCCCTTAAATGACATGGCAAAGTTGTCGGATGCAAAATGACCGTCTCACCTAAATTTTCCAAATGTTAATAAAACGCAACCATTAATTTATATCCACAAACTAGAGTAGCCAACAAAAGTCTATGCTATGGATGGCTGTGGAGTAGATGGAGAATCTCTGGCATACGCATTGGGTTTCGATTAGGTACAGGAGGATTCTGCAGGCGGCTACAATAAGCTTAGCTGGTGTACGACCCGAATGGCAGACTACGGAGATGGAGATTAGGCCGTCAGCCTCACCCTCAAGGCATGAAGATATGATATGACTGCCTAGTTTGATTGATATACTACTGATGTACAAATAACACAACATGGTATTTCTTGCTACCCAAACAACACAACACAACACAACACAACAGGTAGATGTAAAAATACATAAATTATCCACTAGACAGAATAGAGCCAAACTGACATGTAAACACAAACACGTTAAAAGAGTTGCTGAAATACAACAGAAAAGCTCAGCTCCTCCTTGTATAAAATTAAATGAGCAAGGATATATGAATGAATGCGTATGTATTGATTAATTTTATACAGGTGTTGGTGTATGGTGGTGATTTTGCAACTTTCTCATTGAAAACAGAACAGTGCTTTAAGCCGCCTGCCTGCCTGACTAATCAGCAGCAATGGAAAATTAATGAATAATATCGAATGCATTGCAGCGACCACAGCTTAGCCAGAATAACTAGATTTTACTCTGTCGCCTTGATACATCCATCCACCATAGGGTAAAGAAGCATGCACACTACCTTGCCATGGCAAGTGTGGCGCCACAAAACCTTGTCAAAACTCAGAAAGAGTCTGGCCATCTGTGGAGATCAGGTCAGGTCAGGTCAGTACATCCCCTTAAAAACTGGGTTTGTGCGGCATATGCTTGCGCCACATTCCTCGTATTCTGCTTTGGTATGGCATGCCTGAATGGTAACAAAAGAACCAATAAGTAATCGGGGGAAGGAACTTACTTGTAGCACCCTATGTGCTTTTATTAGGATTCTTCAAGTTTCTGCTTAAATGATGATATCAGCATATCAATAACATTACATTACATTACTTTCTATTGACAAAACAGAATCTGAAGGTATCTATCCTGCAAATACAGTTTCAAAAATTATTTCATTGACAGGGATGTTATCATTTTACACCATTTCCTCGTATGCGTAAATAACTATAATTTGGGAACAAAGGATGCAACTTCTCTGCTACTAAACATATTTTACCTAATTATAATAAAACAACCAAAGGTTAGAAGACGTACAGAAGTAGTTCGTTAAGAACTTGTAAATCTTGACCATAACTTCACAAAAAAATCCTATGTTTGGGTTTGGGTTTTTGTTTAAATATTACTACGATGTTTTATGAGAGTAAATAAAATTTATTTTAGGTGCCATATAGGGGTATAGAATAAAAAAGCAATTTGGGTTACAAACCAAATATACCTAGAAAAGTAATCATGTAGAGTTTGTTAATTCAGTTAAAATTAATGGCGTGGAAAGATACCGAGTTTTAAGAGCACGTCAGAGCACAGGATTTTCTGAATAGGTAAAAAGCAAAGAATACTTACAATAGAGAACAAAAGTAACTAGAACCAGACCAGAAAGTGAGAGTTCGATACCTAACTGAAGCTGATGGTATTTATAAAAATGGTAAAAAGAAGCCTGGTCCAATTTCAATATTTCAGAAAAAGCAGAACACACCAGTTTGAAAGAAGTTTGGGCTACAATATTGTGTAAATAAGAAGGTATGAACAAGGAGGTTCTAGGCACGGCGCCATCTGACCACCAAATTGCAAACGTGACACGGCGCCCTCCATGGCGACAATATGACGACATGGCTAACCTACCTCTATAAATTTCTAAAATTCAATTACATAATATAAAACTATAGCCTTCAATCACTAAATTTGATTAAATTTTCAATATGACAATAAAATATCAAAATATTAAACACCACCATCCAAATAAAGTACTTCAAACATCCTTAAAAAATCATTAACGTCTAGAAAAAGCAAAAAAAAACTGTCAATCACCCAAATATCATGTTAGTCTTCATTGTGTATATTACTTTCCTCCTCCTTCTATACCACTATGTATATATATAATATACTATATAATTTAATGGAGGACAGCAGCACTACCTAGGGTGTGTTTGTTTTGTAAAATAGTTTGAAGGTATATTTTTTATGTGAAGTATAGGAAATTGTGTAGATAATATAAAAATAATGAATGTGTGTAATATATTATCTTTTGGAGAGAAAACATGTTGGTTTTCTTGCAAAACAAACACACCCCTATTACCCACACAAATACTTAAATATGTATTCACTTTTACCTACACTTATACAGTGATAAGACATCAACATTTAATGGCTAAGAGATACAAATACATTATATATGATATATATATCCCACTACAATTTATCCCATATTTCACAAAACAATTTATATCCTACCTAATCAACACCGAGAATGAGCAATGTTAGAAACAACGATGATGGACGGGAGCGCCGGTGGAGGTCACTCTAAACAGAGGTAGGAATGATAAAAAATATATAGTCTAGGACTTCAGGGTTTGAAAAAACAAATTTATAAACGTGTTTAAGGCCTTATTTTATGGCCCACAGCTTGTGCCCGTCGCCGTTTGGTGTCGCCAAAGTGACGCCTGGACGCCAGCCTCGCCAAACGGCGAGGCGACCTATCATGACAGTGATGGTTCACTGTCACGACAACTAGGCATCGCCTAGGCAATGTCGTAACAACCTTGGGTATGAAGTTTGAAGACTCACTATCTGAGTCAACATGCAAATTTACTATCATGGAATCTACATGACATTAAAAAATAAACAAGAATAATTAATCTGATCGCGTATTTAAGAAATATATAAATAAAATAACTGCATGAGTGCTAGTTTCAGACAATTATGGATAGTTCAAAGAAACATATGCTTAAATTTGGGACACCAAAATTACCAGCACGTACCGTGAAAAACTCAGGGGTAGATGCAAGCACCGAGCCACCAAACCAAACCGCATACCTCTGAATGGGATGGCTCACAACATTTACTTCAACAGGTTGTGCCTGGAAAATTGTACGATATCAAAATTTTTCAGTGAGGAAGCAAAGTTCATTTTTAAATAATTTATAAACAAAATAACTTAGTAACATACCTTTATTTCTCCTCCAAGCCGAGCATTTGATGCATCAACTCGACCATCAACAATCTTTTTCAAATCTCGTTGTAATCTTCGATGGAAGTCTTTGAACATGGTTGATCCTCCAGATAATACCACATTCTGTAATATAGCAATAGTTCATAAAATCAATCACACAAAATAAATAAGTTAAAAAAAAAAAGCATCAATCAATACTAAAAACAGATTCCACTTAATTAAATAACTTTTTGCGCAATAAATAAATTAAGTTTAAAAAAAAAAAAAAAAAACATCAAGAAAGAATAAAACAGATTCTGCTTAATTAAATAATTTTTGTCACCTTGTACAAGGCTCTTCTTGTATCTATAGGTGCAGACTGTATGCATTTGTCAATCACTTCAGGTAAAGGAGTGGTGAAATCAGTACTATAAATTTCCGGATTAAAGAAGATCTGCAAAGAAAGGGTAGAAACTTTCACACTTTTATCATATAAATGAACAAACTTAACATATTGTGCTAAAACAATGAACCAACTAATCATTCAGAAAAGGTGGCATTTTGACAGGTAAAGTATCATTCTATTGACATGCCAACCTCTGGGCCGAGGAACCGTTCATAGCCTATATCACAAGTATAAGGAGCTCCTGTCCGTGGCTTAGTACCTCTCCACTGCTTAACATACTTTGCTGGATCTCTATCATGCTTATTAAATTCCTGAACTTGGAAAGGATATGAGGACTCATAAATATATGTTTTCTTATATTCAGGCAACATAAATTGTAGATATGCTATCAGAAAGCTATTTCAAAAGAGAACTGCACATCTTGCTCCTTTATTTTTGTCAGGATTTATAAATATAAGAATAGATACTGAGCACAAACTCCAGCCCTTTATTAAGCGATTCAACTCTGAGGTCAATCTAAGGTCAGAGCATAAGCAATCTATAGGGGCTATATACCTTGACTATGTCAGAACAAGTGTAGCAATGCATTTCCTTTACTTTCCTGGCAACATCAAAGGATTCCTCAGGTGGAACATTTTCACCTCTTTCCTACACAGAACATGAAAAAATAATGAATAACAAAAACACAGACAGGAAAATACTATGGCAAATCTGAATCCACGATCTTTAGTGAAGTACAGGGTTTAAGAGCCTACAGTACTGCAGTAGCTGGCCTTCAATAAATTTACTACACTACATTTATGATAATATTTGCTGCTCTTCAACCAGCAAACCCAGAGAACATAAGTACATATAGATGGTTCATAACTGTCATAAAACGAGTCCAGTGGGAAATTTTAGAATAGGACAAATTACTGGATTCATCATTAAACTTGTCCTGTGCTTCATATTTTAGAGCACCCTTTATAGTTTTTGACAGAAACAAGGTAACCTGATTATTGTTCACTTCAATGGGAAAACATGAATGAGGTACAATGCAATAATTATTAAAAAGCATACATATTATAAGGAACAAAAAGAACAAAATATGGACTAAAATAAAATTCCCCTTTTTCAAGGACCAAAAAGGAAATTTAATCAACAGCAAGCCTGCTCTATAATGTTACAACACCTAGAAATTTTAAGAAATTATACCCGCATAAGTTGTTGAACAAAGAGAGTCACATCTTCCCCAGAAATTGGAATTGATTTAATGCTGCTTCCAATAACATAACCTTCAGCTACAGGCACAACATGAGTAGCTCCATCTCCGACATCCACAACAACTCCTGTCATCTCACACTAAGAAGTGTTGGCAGTATAAGAAAGAAAGAATTAACCAAGTATTTCGTGATTATCGGCAATTATGTGTGAGTGAATGATAAAGAAGTTTATTCTACTGCCATCCACAGCCCATTTTTACAGAACTAGACATCAGGAAGTGCAATTAATAACATAATATTACTTGGTTGAAATGTAAATTCAATAAGATAGAATACAGCCACATCTAGGAGACAAGCACCATACAGCATCTTGATTTTTAAACATGGAACAAATTGGAGTGATATTGTTAAATAAAATGAAACAGATAGACAGACGAGTGCACACACCCATTAATCGAAAGATTTAGTAATTTGTGCATTTCCTTCAAACCTCTAATTCCCAGAAAGTGCAATGATCAAAATATGAGATATCCAAAATGTTAAAGCTCAAAGTTCCCCAGAAAGTGTCTGAGTGTTGTGCATTTTTTCTGGTTACAAACAGGAATAGCAATTGGCATTCCCAGAAAAATTCACCCAAGTGCTAAAAAGCATACAGGCTATCTGCAAAATGAAATATAATCCTCAAACACTCCATATTCAACAGCATATACAATAAACATCAAGAAATGAATAACTCATATACAGAGAGAGAGAGAAAAGGAGTCAGCCATATATCTCGGCCTTGTATTACAATGGTATACAATAATATTCTCGAAAAACATCAATTCTAGAGAACCTTAAGGAAACATCTATACACCTTCTAGACTTTCTACATTCAACAAGCTATTATAACATTCACATAAACTCAACATTCCTAAAAGGGGTTTTATGGGTATTTGGAGTTTACTGAGTGTGGCAAGCAGCAAAGAAATATCAAGGACCTATTAAGTTAATAGACTATTACACTTCAGTCAAATGAAAAATAAGAGCCTATGAATAAAAATGTGGCATTTCAAGCATATCTCCATACCAAGTGCTTGATCAGGCCATAACTTACATCTTTGTCGCACATCATGACATTCGATGTTGAGCACATATAATACCAAGACTTTATAATATAAGTAATTAACATAAAAACTTATCGATTTCAGGGGAACTTTAGACCTTGATGTTTTATGACACAGTTCAATAACAGCAATGAACTTATCTAAAGTCTCAAAGCAACGAGAAAAGTTAAAGTATATTTATCTATTATCTACAAATAATTTCTAAATTAAACATCAACCTAGAAAATCATATTCTCAACCCTTCAAAGCTAATGACATAAGCATTTAGCTACTCATTATCTTTCAGATGCCCCAAATTACATTAACCTTCCCTTACTTGCTGAAATTGTTAAGTTAATCAAATGAATAACTATTGATCTTGTTAGCATACTATCAGGAACTAGGGAATCATCTTAAAAATAAGGAGCAATTCTCTACCAAAAAACAAAACACTCCTTCAGCTAAACAAACTACTATCTTATAAATATTGCAAATCAGATACTTGATTTATATACAAAAACATAACTCTGTGTGTAGAATGCAGGCAATCTTCTTTACTGCATATCCTCAATGTTTAGCCATTGTCACCAGCTCTCAAAATTTCATCACAATGAAGAAAGTACAATATCCGAAGAGATTGTTCAAGCATCAAACAACTAGGCAACCATTATTCACTGAACTAGGCGATAAATAATTTATAAATCTCCTCAACCTAGACCAACCTTCGAAGTTGTATAACCAGCAGCCAAGGCAAGAACAGGCTGCACCGCAATATAGAGGCCTGGAACATTAAAAGTCTCGAACATTATCTCGCCTGTATATTCGCGGCTCTCTGGTGCAGTTAGTGGACTCTCAGTTAAACAAAAGTAATGATCCTCAGGATCACAGCGAAGATAATTAAATATACACTGCTGCCAGAACCTCTCCATCGCATCCCAATCTTCAACCTGGCCATGCTTAATGGGATAGCTCAAGTTATAACTATTGTTTGATTTAGATCTAGACAATGCCTCCTCTCCTATATAAAAATCCAGATCCGCCATCACCCCAGCGCTGTGCTGTGCCAACCAATTGCTACCTTTAGTAGAACTAACTCGCGGCTGACTAACAAATGAGTCGTTTGTTGCAACTACGGTGGGCACTATGAAACAGGGTTCCACGTTCCCAGCAAAACCCATTTTGGCATACCTGCGAAAGAAATCACCGAAACCAGTAAATATAAGCCACAGAGACAACCTCAATTGAACGAAGCATTTGATCGAACTCTTGATCGTAGTTTCTAGGTAACATAGTAAGAGACGAGGAAGTACCCGGTGCCGTTGTCGATGACTACCGCAGGGCGAGAGGTGGCAGCGTCCATGGGTAAACTAAACAACAATTCAATCAACAATCGGAGAGAAAGGGTTTAAAGAAAATCGGCACTCATATCATGGTCATCGAACGGAGACGGCGGCGTTGGGTAGGGCTGATGCTGACCTACCAACAGTGGGGTTGTTGATGCTTAACCAATTCTTGTGGGTAGGGTTGTGGTTGTGGTTTGATTCCATTCATTACATTTCAGCTTGCAATCATTGAATCGATCAAATCATATCATCATGATCACCATCGTCATCAAATCAAAGACTGCGTCCGTTATCAAGATTGGAAACGAGGAATGCTGTGGTGGGGTTGGGGGTTGTCCTCTGGCTCTGCTGTTGTCCCCGATTCGAAGAATTAAGGCAACACACAAGTGGATGTGGGCAGTGGGTGGTTCTTTGTTCCTTTCCTTTGCTTCTTTTGCGTGGGTGGGTGGGTGTGGAGAGGGAACAAAGTAATGTATGTATGCCTATGGTGCAGTAGGGCGTTAAAGTGCGTTGTTCGGTCGGGTATTGGAATCTGGAACTAGATCTGATTTGTGGGGCGATCAACATTTTATTTTAAATACATATTTTATAACTAGCATGTAATTGTGTTATATATATTAATTATTTTATATTAAACTATATATTAATTTAATATTTTTTATAAATAGTTTATATATATATATATATATATAACATATTAGTCGAATTACATTAATTTAGAATATAATTTTTCAAATATTTTTTCTAAATCAAAATATTTAAAATTCTAATATAATCTATAAAATCGAAAAATATATTAAAACATTATATTTAAAAATAAATTAATTTTAAAAAATATAAGAATAAAAAAATATTACTAGAAACACAATAAATAGTTAAAAATATCATAAAATAAACTGACAATTGGATTAAAATTTTTCAAGATATTTTGGTATTTAGGTTCAGTCTCCACCCACAATTTTTTAATAATTATTAGCATTAACTCTCTATCCTAAAACTCAATTACAATATTGTCCTCGTCTCTCTCCAAAATTTATTTTAATATTTCAAAAATTCCTCTATCCTCGGTAGGTTATTCTCGCGCGAAGCAGCTTCTGTCTAGCCTTTTATTCTTTCACACATGATCGATGGCGTTGTCGAATCCAAATTTCAATCTTTAGGTTTATTTTTCACAAGGAAAACAGTGGTATGGAAATGTTTCGATTTCAAATGTTCTCTTGTTGTGATAATTTTTTTGGTTGATTATAGTAGTGTTGTTAGGGCTTACGATCGATCCTACCAATGTTCTACTGAAGACGAAGATCGAAACTAAGGTATGATCGATTATCTTTACTATTATTTCACTAATCCTTTGGTGATTGTGCTTTGTTCGAGATTATTTGTGAAGTTGTGGTAATTTTTTTACAGTATAGGACAGTGTGTATAGAAAAAAGTTTTAAGAGGGCTGTTGCGATTTAATGGTAGTATGTGTGGGCATTTTCACAGAAAATTTTTCTACGGTGGTGGAGTATACCTATATTTATTAATCTTATACCTATGTTGTCTGATATTGTACGCTTTATTTCTTTGAAGATGCCCTTGTTTGGTTGATATATACTACGACTACTCATGTATGAACCTTGGTATATATTTCATGTGCTTTTAATTTGATGGTTCATAAAATCTTGTTGCTATGCAGTCGTGTCTACCGAAAATAATAAAAATTGGGAATGGTTTTGTTGGAGGTTAAGGATTTTTCTTCACATTGATAGTCTGTATAATTGGAAAGAATACATTTCTGGATAGACACTCGAGACTTCTAAAATTTATCCATGTCTTATTTTCTGGAGCCACCATGCATACTGTCTTCGGCACTTAGTGGATAACTTTTGCACATAGGTATGTGTAGAATATATGTTTCATTTTTATGATATGTGCAACAAGATAATTATATTTCTTATATGGAATACAGATATATCTGATAAACCACAAGAAATGATAGACGTCCGTTTTCAACAAAGTTGCTTACGAAGAACCCATTAATCCAGTGGCAACGCATGATATGGATGTGGCACAGAACAAGCTGCAAGCAAAGATAATTCATTCTACAACATTTATCCAACTAGGTCGGCCAAAAAAAGACGGTTAAATCACAATAGGTAAAACAATCTAAAAAATGTGGTCATTGTGGTCGCCAAGAATATAACCGACCGAGTTGCACATAGGATTTATCTTATGTATTTCTGATTTCCTCATATGACTGAAATTTCTTTTTATTCTTGGTTGATTGTACATTGAACAGATCTTTGTACGAGACCATTATTGAATGATTTCTAAATTATATGATATTTCCATTATATTCCTTATCGTACACAACTAATATGTGGGGATATATATCATTACGAATTAATTTCAAATTAGTCGTATCCAAAGGTATGTGAAACCACAACAAAATAACATTAGAGTTATTGTAGTTGTATAAAATACGACCAAGGATAAAAATTATCAATAAGGACAATACACTAGATATAGAGCTTGGCTTATTAAATTAAGAGGTCCTTTGTGTCCCCAAAACACTTCTTATCGTATAACATGACTCATAGTGTATTCCAACCATTTATCTCAAATTAAATTAACATTGAATTACTTGTAGGCATTTAATTTTTTTGACAGAGTTATTACAATGACAATACGAGTATTCTATAACGTTGGAGAAGTATATTTGTAGACAAAAAATTGTGTTATTTTTAATAAATACAAAAGTTTGTACATATTATTTTTAATTTAAATTTAAAACGGGTCTTATTATCTAAATGGTCTTTGATTCTCTTTCTGGGTCGATTTGTTTTCCAACTTGGTTTTCGATGAATTCTTTGATCCGAAGAGATTTGGTCTTCGGTTTGACTTTTCCGAACTTTGGAGGGCTTTGGTCTCCGTACGGGCAATTTGATCTTCGGCTTTGGATTTGATGTCATCTTTGGACGATCCAAAGCTTTGATCTTTGGTTTGGCTTTGCCGCCTTTTGGAAAGCTTTGGTCTCCTTGCGGGCGATTTGATCATCGGCTTTTGGAGGACTTTGGTCTCCGTGTGGGCAATTTGATCATCAGCTTTGGATTTAATGTCTTCTTTAGACGATCGAGGCTTTGATCTTTGGTTCGGCTTTGCCGCCTTTTGGAGAGCTTTGGTCTCCGTGAGGGCGTTTCAATTGTCAGCTTTGGATTTGATGTCTTCTTTGGACGATCCGAGACTTTGATCTTTGGTTTGGCTTTGCCAACTTTTGGAGGGCTTTGGTCTCCGTGTGAGCTATTTGATTGTCGACTTTGGATTTGATGTCTTCTTTGGACGATCCAAGGCTTTGATCATTGGTTTGGCTTTGCCGCCTTTTGGAGAGCTTCGGTTTCCGTGTGGTCGATTTGATCGTCGGCTTTGGACTTGATGCCTTCTTTGGACGATGCGCGGCTTTGATCTTTGAGAAGATGGATTTGGTGCTCCATAACACTTTTGGTGACGCCTCCCTTTTACTTTTGGATCAAAGAGGGCCGAGTTGATGCTTTGGTGAAGAACGCGATGAACACCTTAAAGCTTTAGGATGAACTTTGGATAGTCTTCCTTGGCTTTGATGGATTCGTCAACGGCCTTTTTGGAGCTTTGATCCTTGAAGAGGTGGATTTGGTGCTCCATAACACATTTGGCGGTGTGTCCCTTTGACTTTTAGATCAAAGAAGGCCTAGTTGATGTTTTTGACAAAAAACGCGACGAACGCCTTGAAGATTTAGGATGAACTTTGGAGGCTCTTCCTTGGCTTTGACAGATCCTTTAATGGCTTTCGGAGCTTTGATTCTCCCTCCAGTTTGGGCATACGACGAGGAACGTTAACTTCATCGATTCACCAACCAATATTGGATCATTTGTCCAAATCAGAGACTTTTACTCGAAGAACGCTTCCAAGAACACGAAGAACAATACAGAGAGAGTCTAGAGACTTACCCATTTGCTTGAATTCTTGATGTAACTTTGGTGTGTCAAATGAATTGGCCATGGCACATATTTATAGGGGAGGGGTGACCTCAGCTTCCTTTTTTAATGTTGACACGTGGCGCGTCTTGATTGGCCAATAGGAAGATTTTATAATATTTCATTTTCCAAAAAATATTTTTCATTCTTGACGGATTTGATTGTGCACCTTTCTTTCTCGCCAAGATCTTTTTATCATTGCTTTTTTCGGAAGATATTAATTTATATACTTAATTTATTTTGCTGCCAAATTTATTATGGCTCTATTTATGCACCTAATATTTGTACGATATCTTTCATTTTAAGCAAATTTTTGCATTAATAGTTGATATTTATTGTACAAAAATTAACATATGTGCATAATTAAATATCATATATTAATTTTATTGGAATTTTATCTTCTTCCATAATACATAATATTTAATTTAATTTAGACATTTAATTTTTAATAGCTACAAATGCCCCCTCGAGACTTGTTTAAGCTAACGCAAAACGTTTAAAGCTTGAATAAGTCTCGAAATCGCAAGTTAGTCTATTTTTTTGGACTGAAATTCTATTTTTTTATGGCTATCATTTTTTTTAATATTTTTTTTAGTCATTATTTTTTCCGAAGGGCTTTTTCCTTTTTTTTTTCAGACAAAGTTTTTTTTTTTTGTCCAAATGATTTTTTTTAAGCCCGATTTTTTTTGGGGCTTTTTTTTTCTTTGCCCAATTTTTTTGTAGGAATTTTTTTTTTTACATAATTGACTGTACTCGGAGTTATATTTCAAGTTGCCTACGTATCCGGTGAAGGAGCAAAGTCATAACGTAGTTCAAAACAAATTGAATTTGTTTGTTTTTGTTAAACAATTTGTTCTCGTGTTAAGGAGTCTTGTAGAAAGTTTATCCTCATTTCTAGGATATTGTAGAAAGTTCATCATCGTTTCTAGAAGATTGTAGAAAGTTTGTTCTCGTTTCCAGGAGATTGAAGAAAGTTTATCCTCGTTTCCATGAGCCCCACTATTTGAAGTGTTATGTTTCTCTTCGTCTGAGAAATCCTGGGTAGGAGGTCCATATATTCCATTATACATCATGCTCAATTCCATATCATGAGCGCGAGTGGCGAGTTCTTCAAAAGTATGGGGTCGGATCCCTTGTAAGATGTATCTCAAGCCCCACTGCATTTCTTGAATGCACATTTCTATGCCAGAGGCCTCAGACAGATGGTCTTTGCAGTTGAGGCTTAGACTTCTCCAACGGTTGATGTAATCGATTACTGTCTCATCTTTCCGTTGGTGGCTATTGGTAAGTTCGGTCATGCTGACAATTCTCTATGTGTTGTAGAACCGATTCAAGAACTCGTACTTTAGTTGTTCCCAATTATCGATGGAACCAGCCTCTAAGTAGATGTACCAGTCGAAGGCGTTGCCGTTTAGTGACCGTACAAATTGTTTGACTAGAAGATCTCCATATATTCCGGCATCATTGCATGTCTCGAAAAAGTTCGCTATATGTTGCTTTGGGTTGCCTTTGCCATCA